TACAAACAACATGACTTGTAGATGGAATCAATGCTGTTGTCATAATACTTCCGAGCTTGAATCGACGGGACTCTAAGTCAATTACACATTTATGTTTTTCGAGAAAGTCTGCTCCTATAAGGAGTCCCGTTACGAGATTTAGATTATTCGCAGAACAGACATAGAACAAGTGTTCTACCGTTTTGTCGGTCCCTCGGCCGACGGGTAAAACAATTGTTCCTAAAATAGGTAGAGGGCTACCATCAATAGACACTATATTAGTGATATTTTTCTTAGTAAAATTAGGGCAATACTCTTCTGAGATAATTGATATCTGAGCCCCACTATCTACGACGCCATATATGTTTAGACCATTCACCCAAAGTTTAATATAAAAGCTCACAGGGACAGGCAGATTATCATGATTTCCTTCATAAGAGGCGCTGCGCACTGCTAGCGCCGCGTGTCTAAAAAAGACACGGTGTTTCTGCTTAAACGACGCTCGGGGTTAGGCGAGCGGCTAGCGAAACGCTGTGAGGAATCATAATTTCTATTCCGGTCAGAAGATCCATCACGATTGTAGCGATAATCGCTAGTGCGTGAGTCACTCCTCGGGTAGCTCGTACGTGAGTCGCTGCGCGAGGAGCGGGAATCAGCGCGGAAATAAGTGCGCTGGTCGCGGCCCAAGGAGCGAGAGTCGCGTCCTTGGCCTCGTCCGCCACGCCAGGACCCACGACGGCCACCGCGCCTTGAGTTGTGAAAGGACTGACCCTGGTACGGCTGTACGGGGCCTGCAACCATATGGTATGGCTGGACGGCGTGTGGTGCCACACAATCCTTTGCAAAATGATTTAATTGTTTGCACTTATGGCAAGTTATCGGTGTGGCCTGGGCAACATACTGCACGGTGACGGGAGGAGAACTACAGTGAGTTCCACAAGCAGGAGGGGAATGGCACTGAGAGTGACAGGCTGGCTGAGAATTGCAATGTGTATGGCAAGCCGGGGGAGAATTGCAATGAGATTTGCAATTTGGGGGAGATTTGCAGCGAGTTTTAGAGCTAGAACGCTCTTTTGGGGTGGAGTCTGCAGGAATCTGCGGGACAGCGAGGGTGGTGGTGGGGGTTGTGGAGGTGGTAGGCGATTGGGCAGCTAGAAGTTGATGCACTACATTAATAGTGGCTTTGGATGCAAGATCGTTAGCGAGGGAGAGCGCAAGCTCTTCTCTCTGCGCCAACTTAGTAGCTTCGTCAAAAGTAGCGGGTGATTGATGTCGGACAAATTTCTGCAATTTGTGCGTTAGTCCTCTCTGAAAAACACTTAACATCTCGCGTTCCATGCGGGCCTTGTTACTTGCAATAATACTCTGATCTGTAGCTACGGGTTCTGTGGCAAAATATCGCTGAGCGAGTTTGCGCAGACGGTCCACGTAGGTGGAGACCGTCTCCCCGGGAAGCATGGTGCATTGCTGGAATGCAGTTTGGGCAGAATGGGGATCGACAACTTGTTTGAAGCGTTCCTTAAGGGCACTAATTAGGTCAGCACTGGAACCATTATTGAGATGGGGTTTATTGTCAACGAAGTCAGAAGCAGGTCCCCTTAACTTTAGTAGGATAAAATCCCTGCGCTTAGCGTCCAGCTGAGCGGCATTTGTGGTATCATCAGTAAAACAAGCGAGTGCCCTATTTACAGCGGTAAGGAAGGCATCCACTGGATAAGAGGGTTCATTGGAAGAAAAGGTGTCGACGGCGGCAAGCATGGATGGTTTAAGAGACATTTTGACACGTGAGAGTTCGGCGATAGTTACGAGCAGAAGTTGGGGAGGGGTAGGGGGGTTGGCGGGGAAATGAGTACGGAATTCGATCAAAATATTCTTTAAATGAATAAAGAATCGATCGTCACACGCATAAATATTTGTACGCGTGGAGGCAAAATGTAAACGAGGAGTAGCACACTCTTCTGGTATAGAACTATTTAGTGTTGCACCGGAAGTAGCAAGAGTAGTACTAGCAGGAGCAGTGCGCCAATTGGAGTCTAGAATAGGCAGACACGCTACATACAGAGCATCAAAATCACTAACGAGAGCAGCAACAGCGGCAGGCGAAGTAAGAGCACTGAAATTAATGATCTCGAACCGAGGATATTGACTATGCGACGGCAGAGCGTGTTTAGTCAAGTATTGGCGAATTTGGGCGGGAGTCAGCGCCATATCAGAAGATCAGAAAGCAGCAACCCACGAAGCACGTTAACCAAAGGAAGAACTGATACATCTTGATTTCTGAAAGAAATATCAACGATGGCTTTGCCGAGACTTGATGAAACATTTGTAACAACCGCAGTTGTCGGTATGCGATGGCTCGTTGCGAGGGGGCGCGCGGCGAGGGATGGTATGAGCACGCCAATGGGGCGGACAACGACAGCAGGGCGTCGGGGCTGCAGGGGAAACTGGAGCTGGCTGTTTCTCAATGGTAATGTTGATACGAATAAGACCGTGTTCAACCTGTTGCAGAATATGATGCCAATCAATATTTGACATTTTCGTCGAAAAAAGGTATGCAACACGGAAGGGAGAGTACTGCTTAAAAATAACACTTCTTAAAATTACACTTCTTAAATTTACACTGACTCGACGAGAAGAACTTGCATTTTGAGAGAAGACCACCGCTGCTCACCAATGTGATAGCCTGTGTTGGCTTGGGTTCGAGCCTTCAATCAATATGCAAGATACTTCTATTCAATAGTATATTTACTCATTGTGTTGTGTCCAGGAGGCAACGCTCCGAAGATGTATACTGTAGCTGGTGCGGAGGGACTCTGCCCGCCTGAGACCAGACCTAGGCTTATGTACTATTCTGGGCTAGGCCAGGAGTGAGGCGGAGAGGGGCGATGCAGTGGGAGAGAGAGGAGGGGGCCAGGCTTGGCGCACCACGGAGCTCCGTCCGTGGGCGCGCGTCCTTGACCGACTCCCCGCTCGCACGCTGCCTAAATGAGAGATTAAACAATGCTATCAAGTGCGTGAAGTTACAAAGGGATTCTTGCGGGTATCACATCTGTGGACCTCACAACTGTACTTGTTATATGCACTCTTTACCCTCTTGTCTTCCCATATGTGTTTGTGTACTTAACATTAATGTGTACACTTCTTACTTATGTTTTATAGTTCTCACATAATATCCCCCTTCTCATTAAAAAATTAACTGTGCATAACTGATGTCCGAATGTGTTCTCAGGATGTCGACCAGTTAAACTTTACAAGAGGTCAGCACGCAAGATGTACCAGACCTTTTGAGCCCAGAGCAGATGCTTGGAAATGCGGTGAGTTTACAGACATTTCTACCAACTAGATAAGGAAAGATGCCAGTTTGGCCTTGATAATTAAAAATGGGTGCACACTTTGAAATAAAGATAACCATAACAAGGATGCAAAGGATAGAATTATAAATATTTGGTGTTTACTGTAACTCTATCTAAAGACGGAGGTAAAATAAAGCAGCGGTTAAATTAAGGAAGAAATTGGATCAGCTAATGTCCTTCTTAATTAAAGTGAACGCCTCATTTTGTTGTCATCAACATGATTTAATTAAATCAGGTTGCTTGAAAAATATCTAGCAGTGTTTTCCATTTGTTATTGAAGTAAAGGTGCCAAAAAATATTTAACAGTCAATTGCAAATCATAATGAGGGTGCAACCATATTCCACAATATTCCCTGAGCTCAAATTATTTCAACAGTTGTCGCCCAGTGAAAGACCGATGTTCAGGCATTAAAATTCTTGCTAAAGTCTTACTATGCTAAGGAAAAACTTGGGCCCATTTTATCATTTGTTCTCTGAAACAATGTTAGGATAGCTATTTATGACTCTGCAGCCCATCTAATCTGAGATATGAAATACATTTTCATAATAATTAGTACAAAAAACTAAATCATGTTTGTTTAGAAATGACATTACTAACCGAAGCCAGAAGAATGTTGCAAGCTTTCTATAGACCTAAGCACTGGGTGGGGATTCAACGGTTGCTTTATATTTTATGGAAGACTTTAGTTTCCCAACTTATTGCTTGGAGGTTTAACCAATACACACAGTAGGTCTATAGAAAGCTTGCAACATTCTTCTGGCTTCGGTTAGTAATGTCATTTCTAAACAAACATGATTTAGTTTTTTGTACTAATTATTATGAAAATGTATTTCATATCTCAGATTAGATGGGCTGCAGAGTCATAAATAGCTATCCTAACATTGTTTCAGAGAACAAATGATAAAATGGAGCCATGATTTTCTTAGCATTGTAAAACATAGCAAGAATATTAATGCCTAAACATCGGTCTTTCACTGGGCGACAAATGTTGACATAATTTGACCTCAAGGAATATAGTGCAATATGGTTGCACCCTATTTATGATTTGCAATTGACTGTCAAATGTTTTTTGACACCCTTACTTTAATGACAAATAGAAAACACTGCTAGATATTTTTATTGCAACCTAATTTCTGTAATTTCTTTTTTTTTTAAAGGTCTCTAATGGGGTAAATTGTACATTTTGTGGTTTCGGTGAAAACATAAATTAGTCTTTTTGTAAATTGTGTTGAATTTAACGGTGCAGAGAACGGGCTACACACAGGAAATCTAAGTGTGCGAATGTCGCACATCTGCAGGTGAATGAATAAATTAACTCACCTGCAGGTGTGCTACAGCAAATTTACACACCTGCAAGTGAGTTAAAAAAGTTTAGACACCTGCAGGTGTGTAAATTTTCGTTACACACCTGCAAGTTAGTGAATTTCTTCACTCACCTACAGGAGTGCAACATTCGCACACTTGGATTTTCCGTGCAGTCCTACGGTTCATCGGCGCGAATCAAAGATTTCGGAAATGTCAACTGGTAAAGAGGCTAAATGTTTGAACTGAGAGTCACTGACTGACGCTGGCAGGCCGCCCTTAGCCCTCGAGCGGGCTCTAGCTTGTTTCAGAAATTCTAACTCACATGTTTTACCCCAAATTGAAATTATTTTTGTTCTTTTCAGGGCTGCAGTTACTACAGTAGTGATCAAGAATTGACTCTACGGATTTGCAGTTTTATGAAAATGTTTGTGCTTATTTTAAGCTGAGCGGAATAAATTTGGTCAACGGTACTTATTTTATGATTTTTATGAATGTGTTTTTGGCTGTGTAGCGAAAAAGAGTCTCCTTGCTCGTACTACGAGACACCTCGACTCTAATCCCTCCACACACTACACAATGGCCACTACCTGGAACCCCGCCCGCCCGACCCACCGAAAAGAGTCACCTTTGCTTCTACCACGAGCAAGGCGACTCTTTTTAAAAAGAGTCGGCTGACTCGAATTGAAACGCTTTCGAGCAAGTGTCTTCTTTTGGAAAAGAGCAAGGTGACTCGTTTTACGAGTCAAAAAGAAGCAAACTATTTTGCTTCGGGTCCTGACCTACGGAGCTCCTTAGTCTATTCTTAACAAATTAAACTACGGAAACCACTCTTTCTCCTATGTATCTCTATCACTAAATAATACAAAAAAAGTGAGAGGTTCCTGCACGCCCGGCCGGTGCCTTGGCTCGCCTTGGCCCTTCTCCTCGTCGGCGTCGGGGCCTCGCGGATCCCAGGATGCTACCGCATCCCGGCATCCGTGCCTATCCGTCATTGTTCCGCTATTCGAGAAAATACTCATACGGTCAAAGAAAGCAACACGACGAGATGTAACTTCTGTCAGACAGCAAATGCAAGGAGATATACCACTTTGTTCAGAGACAGCAGTTCGAGGATGTACGAGCATACACAGCAATTCAAGGAGATGCTCAGATGGTCAGAGAGCGAAATCTGAGGAGATACAGCTTCTGTCAGACACAAGAATTCGAGAAGATGCCACTACGGTCAGAGGCAGTGATTCGAGGAGGTACATCTATACACTGCCACTCGAGGAGGTTTGCTTAAAAACAGCAGTTCGAGCAGTTACACCTACAGTCATAGCGAGCATTTCGAGGCGTAACTGGGCGTGACTATGGGACTGTCACACTCAGGTGCACGGATGCTCCGAGGACCAGAAATGAGGAAATAAATACATACAGGTACAGTGTGCACACTTGCGACATTCTAAAGGAAACAGTGCGCTGCGCGAGCAGGGGCGGATTGGGAGGGGGGAGGGGCTATTCGTCAATTGCCCCTCAAAAAAAAAAGCTCAGGCGCACATTAAAATTTCGGAGAAGAGAGAAGAAGAGAGGAAGGAAAGGGGAAAGAGATAGGAAGGAAAAGAGGGGAAGAAAAGACTAGTATGGCACTGTAGACAATATGGGCAGGGCACGCCAGTACTCAACGCATCCTCTATTAAAAGTAAAGAAAGTAAACCCCTGAAAGTAGGGAGCACCTTTAGAGACAGCGACCCGAGGACGTGCGCTCACAGACAGCAGTGCGAGGAGATACCCTCAACACCCAAACACAGCGATCCGGGGAAGTACGTTTCGAGGCAGCTATCCGAGGTGATAGGGCAAGGGCCAGCGATCAGTGTAGAACGGTATTAAAACTACCGCGAGGGCCAGTGTTACAGGGAGCGCTCACTGCTCGCATAGTCGAAAGTCGCGTACCCCGCCCAGACCCACCTGTGAATTTATAAGTGCGCCCGCGAAGTAGTGTATATGTCGCGTAAATTGCCTACCTATCCTGTGTAAATACTGACCCTGTTATTTTTCTGTCTGTTTGCATGTGCCTGTGAGTGCTGTAAGATCGTCGTTTGAAGGAGTGTGCACGCTCTTCCTCGCTTGCACTGCTGACTTGTTGCAACTGCCATGTTCTTCTGCCTGCTTTTCCTGGTCGCAGTCTAAAGTTTTTTTTCTGTTTTGCATTTATTAGAAATAAAAGCTTGCTTGTGTTGTAATCTCTTGAACGAATAACTGTGTCATTAATTCCATTATCCCCGCTTTAGAACCACAAAAGAACGCTTCCAAATGATCAGGTAAGTGACTCGAAACAAGGCTTACACTGTGAAAAATAGTTTCCATGACAATATCGTAAAGTTACACCGAAAGATTGTACAATTACATTTTTTGACATCATGTGTTGACTTAGGTTTCTTCGACGACAAGTAATTTGCTGCAGTAAAATTACAAGTGCGTTTTTAAATCGAAAATTACGAAAATGTTTTGAATTTACACATATATTTTATATAGTGTAATTAACGTTCTAAAAAGTTGTAGCACACGTCAAAAAAATCCAAAAGTTTTCACGTTTGGCCCTACTACTATTACCCTTTTCTATCCTATATCACCCGTTAGGAGCTCTTTACATACCGGATGTCCTGGAGAACACACGGTAGTGTTATGGGTTTGCCTACTCACTCCGGCCGTAGGGCGTCGGGCGCCGTAGCCCCTGCTGCCCTGCCGAGTATGCAATCCAGCAAGACTGCCGTGTGTTCTCCCGGACACCCAGTATTACAAGTATTACGACAGTCTCTGTGTGTGCAAGCGGCCGAGCACCACGCCAGACCGCCGCGCGCCCTGAAGGCCGCCCAAGGGGAAGGAACACGGCACCGATTGTGCGTGGTCAGCACACTCAGCACAGCCTGATGCACATGTTCAGGGAGGGGAGGGAGTGACAGCCCCACGGTCTTTAGAAGATGGACAGGCGAAATTCACTGTGTGTTCGTGGGCGCAAATTCAATCGCATCAATTTGAGGAGACGCACACGTGTTGCAGATCAGCAATCTGAGGCGACGGGTCTAAAACCAGCCAAAAGAGGAGGTACAGTGGCAGAGGCCTTGGGGCAGTCGTGCGCCTGTAAGGTAGGCATCTCAGCACAACGCGGCGTGCACGGCGTGCTCGGTTTCTAGGTTCCTTGCAGGCCGTCCAGGGCGAAACCTGCTTGACAGAGACGCGAAGCGGGGCGGCTTCCCGGCACTCGATGCCAGCAATCGCCTCACCACCGACGGCGTGTTCGTCCCGGGGGTCCAGGCCCAGCTGCACCAAGTACTCTACCGTAAATACGGCCCACCAGCGTCAGAACTCGTACTCGTCCCAGCTCACCAGCAGACAGAAAAGAGCGAGGGTGGGTCACGCCCCAGCTCGAGAACCGCGGCTGCAGCACGGAGCACGGCGCTGTGCTCGGCTCGGACGTGGAGTTGACCTTGAGCACCCCCATGGTGGCCGAGCCCAGGGCGGGAGCAGGGCCGAGCGCGCGGCCGAGCGCGCCTACCTCATCTGGTCTGGGGTGCAGCACGACCCCGGACGCTGGCGAGGTGCACCGTAGCTCCCTCCGCCTAAAGTCCTGGATGGGAGAGAAGCGCGAGGTCAGCCATTCTTGCTCTCTGCTGGCAGGCCGGCATACGGCGGGGCGGTAGCGACCCGGCAGCCCGGACCGCCGGGCAGGTATACGGGGATTAACATGGGCTGAAGTCAAAATGGCGCCGGCCAATCAGGTGCAGCAGGGACGCCCATCCAGGACTTTGCCTCCGCCGTGCCGAGGAGGTACGCCATACGCGTGGGCTGGCCAGGTCACTTCTGGAGCACCCCACAGGTGACCCGAAGCCCCCCGCCCCCTGCCAGCCGCACGCCGCCGCGCGGACCAGGTAACCGCGCACAGGGCATCCGGGTTGTAGACGACCTCGTCGCGCCCCCACTGTGTCGCACATCTTGTGTACATGTGAGCCCGGGTATATTATTTGTATTTATTAAAACGTAGAGGGTTCAGCTGCAGCTTTCAGAGTAACGCCGTCGCTGCACTCAACTCGGGTCACTTGGCGCTTGGACGCGCTTGGATGTCCTGCAGGCAGGCGGCGCCACGGCACTCTGGGCCCCGTGCCGCCAGGAGGTGAACCATGTACTCATGTTGGATGTCGTGCAGAGACGGCCCCGGGTGGGGACCGGTGGTGGGGGGGGGGGGGGGTGCATGTCCGCGGCACGAGCCACATGCGGCGACCGTCCAGGCGCATCAATCCACCGTAGCTGCGTCCAGATACGTGGGTGCATTGGGTGCCTTGGGTGCCTGAGTCTGCGCAGAGACACTCTGCGAGTCTCTGCGCAGGCTCCGACTAGGCTCAGACACCCAAGGCACCCAATGCACCCACGTATCTGGACGCACCTCTTGTCCTGGCGCTGTCCGAGGCACCCACGAGGCAGGCTGCCCCTCGTGCGCGGGCGTGATTGGCGCCTAGCTACGAGCAGCTGCGCGCGCGCGTGGAACGGTGACGGGATAGAAGCACAGCGTTCAGACTTGGCAGGGTGGCTTATCTAACCAGTACCTTAGGCTAAGTGTTAATAACTATTCAGGCCTCTCCTGTGTAGTTTGTTCTTACCTTGATTAAACCAGGCAAACTATTAATCCGGCAGTGGTGGTTGTTGGTGCGGCAATCTAGTGGGTGGCACGCAAGGGCGCCATGGAGGCGTCCTGTATGGTGGGTTGGGGGGCAGCGGCGGTGGTCGGTAGGGGGGTAGCGGTGGCAGCCGCGGCAACGGGTGGGGTAGCGGCCTTGGGCGTGGACATCGATTGGGATTTGGGTTTGGCCGACGATGTGCCAAACCGAGAAGAACATAAGAAAATGTCGAGAAACGGTAAGCCATAACCGTATGCAACATTCCCAATTCCTAGGAAACAATGTAGTCCAGCCAACACTGTGTTCAGCTGTGAACACGAGTGCCGCGCTGGCCGAACAGGGGTGGTCTCTCCCACCACCCTCGTCGCCGAGCTGCACCGAGTGGTGTTGCTGCCCAGGGCCCCCAGGGCGGGGCGGGGCAACGATATGAGGAGTTACTTCAAAGTTAGTTCAAAATCAGCCATTCTAGGAGGTCTACTTAAAAACAGCTATCCGAGGCCGGGGCGGGGAGAGGGAGGGGGTGCGAATTTCCTCTTTACCGTGTGCGAGAGAGAGAGGACCAATGCGCGCATGCGCGCAGCGCTGCAGTGTAATTGTCGCATCCTTCTCTGTACTACGTCTTGCAAAAGAAACGGACCTCTGCTGCGGGACTACTCCGCGTCCCGGCTCGGGCGACAGACGGACACCGGCCGCCCCGTTGCCGCTGTGCACAAGGGCGGGGGCGGGGGGCACCGACTGCACTGCCGGGCCGGCGGGGCGCGCTGGAGGGCTCGGCCTGCCT